TAACCACAAATTTGTACTTCTTAATTCCTTCACATCTTTCACCCAGTTCCTTGACTCCCCACTCTTCTAGCAACCGTCAGTCTGTTCTTCTTATCCATGAGTCAGTTTCAATTTTTGTGTGTGTTTATTTTGTTCTTTATATTCCACATATAAGTGGAATTATATGGTATTTGTCTTTTTCTGACCAAGTTATTTCACTTTCATACTGTCACAAATGGTAGGTTTAATTATTTTTTATGACCAAGTAATATTCCATATATCCAAGGATTGTTACTTGATTATAAAAATGAAATACTTTGTTAACTCTCTGTTTCAACAGGATATTTTACTATATTGGAAGTTGCTGTTAAGATAGCCAAGACACGGAAACAATTCCATTAATAAACAGGTGGATAAAAAAAGTTGTGATACTTATATACAATGGAATATTACTTGGACATAAAAAAGAATGAAATCGTACTATTTGAAACAGCATGGATGGACCTTGATGGTATTATGCTAAGTGAAATAAAGATGTGGAGAAAAGAGAACCCTCATGCACTGTTGGTGGGAATGCAATTAGGTGTAGCCAGTATGGAAAGAAATATGGAAATATCTCAAAATATTTAAAAAGTTGGGCTGTTTTTCCAGGTAGTAATCTCCAGGTAGTAATCTCACCTGTGGTTCCAGAACATGCAGCTCAAATCCATGGACATTAACCCTGAGTTGCTGACAAAGTCCTGGCCTGGCTGAAGGTCGCCAGCCAGTGGTGCTTCATGGAAATGTTGGGACTGGAGTAGAAGGTTTGAAGCTTGCAAACAGTACCAGCCTGCATGCTGCTGCTGCTGTTTCCACCCACTGACCAGCTTGAGAACTTTGTGGGGGGAAACATATTGAAGAACTGAAGGGACAAGAAATCAGTCCTAAAGTGTACTTTATGAAGCGGACCATTGAGAACTCCTGTGGTATCATCCAACTTATACAAGCAGTAGCCAATAATTAAGACAAACTGGAATTTGTTTTTATGCCAATGATTCTCTATTTTCTTCAGGTCATTCAAGCGGCCCATGACTCCGTGGTGCAAGAATGCCAGTGTCAGGTAAATGGCAAAGTGAAATTTCATTCTATTCTGTTTAACAACATTGATGGCTGCTTCTATGAACTTGATGGACGGATGCCTTTTCTGGTGAACCATACCACTAGTGAAAAGAACCATAGCACCAGTGAAAAGAACTTGATGCTGTAGGATGCTGCCAAAGTCTGCAGATAATTTTCTGAGTGTGAGCAAGGGGGAAGTCAGCTTTTCTGTGGTGGCCTTCTCCAAGGCCGCCTAGTGCCCTGTGGGAAGTGACTAAGCTCTTTTCACCCTCTTCCCTTCACCATAAAATTATATCCCTACAAATGTAGTCTTAAAATGCTTTGGTACTCATAGAAAACAGCTGTTGTTCTTTGGTTCTATAACTATACTCCCCCTCAACCACACCCAAGCACTATCAGAGCTCAGCTGTTGATTGAGCAGTTTGGTATAAGCTTCAGATGGCAAAGCATTTCCCCATTGTATGTCTCATACCTCAATAGTTAATGCTTTAAATGGCTACTTTGGTTTGTAAGTTAAGACCTTGGATGAGGTTTAAATTGTTTGTCATTATAAGGAATAAAACTTTTCTGCTGATAAAAGAAGTTAAACATGTCTTATAATCCAGTTACTCCACTTCTGAAAATATATACAATGAAACCAAAAATATTAATTTGAAAGAATGTATGTACCCCTATTTTTATTTCAGTGTTATATACAACTGAAAGCCTGGTGCACAAAATTCGTGCATGGGTGGAGTCCCTAGGCCTAGCTGGCGATCAGGGCTGATCGGGGCCAGTCTGATCAGGGCTGGGCCAGAGAGGAGGTGACAGTCACAGGGCCAGGCACAGAAGGAATGGACACTAGATGCCACCAGCATCCCACCACTGTGGGGTTCCCCACCTGCCCTCCCCTCACCCCCATCTCCTTCCTTTGTCGCTGCACTGGCAGGCGGTGGCAACCCAATCAGGGCCTGCCAACCAGTGGGAGGGACGGGGCATGGGAGCTTGGCTGCCAGCCCCAGGGAGGGAGCTGACTCTTGGCCTCCCTGGGAAAGAGGTTGTATCTGCTGCCACCACCCCCAGTTCCCCATCCCAGCCTGGGGGCTGGGGGGAGGGACTGTGGGAGGTTGGCCAGTTGGGGGAGGTTGGTTGTTGGAGCACACTGACCAAGAGGGGGCAGCTTCTGCATTGAGTGTCTGTTTCCTGTGGTCAGTGTGCATCATAACCATGGGTCATTGGGTCATTCTGGTCATTTCAGTTGCTTAGGCTTTTATACATATAGATAGCCAAGATTTGAAAGCAGCCCAAGTGCCCATCTGGGAATGAATAACCAATGAACACAGACACCAGGGGGCAGGTGAGGGCATGAGCCAGGGGTGAGGGGGCAATGGGGAGAAAGGACACATATGTAATACATTAATCAATAAAGAAAAAAGTGTTATGGTACATTTTCACAGTGGAATACTATTAAGCTACAAAAAAGGAGCTCTTACCCTTTTGAAACAGAATGAATGGACCTGGAGAGTATCATGCTAAGTGAAATTAGCCGGTTAGACAAAGACAAGAGCCATAAGATTTCACTTATACAGTATGTGGAATCTAATGAACAAAATAAAGAAATAATAGAAACAGACTTATAGAAACAGAGGACAGACTGACAGCTGTTAGAGGGGAAGGGAGTTAGGGAGCTGGAGGAAAAAAGATTAAGGCATTAAGCAAAAAACAAAACAAACAAAAAAACACACACACAAAAAAAAACCCACACCAACAACAAAAGTCATAGACACAGATAACAGTATGGTGATTACCAGAGGGAAAGTGGGTGTGGGAGGAGATAGAAGAGGTATACAGGAATAAATGGTGACAGACAGAAGGAGACTTGACTTGGGGTGGTGAAGACACAATGCGGTATACAGATGACATATTATAGAATTGTATACCTGAAATGTATATATTTTTATAAACTAATGTCACCCCAATAAATTAAAGAAAAATGATAATAATGTGAAAATATTTTAAATTTGTGAAAATTATAATTTAAGATATCAATTTTGCATGTAGGGTGTATCTGCTCTAAAGACATTCTGAATGAAGTTGGTTTCTAAATCCTTGTGGAAAAGTATCACACTTAACTTACCAGAAAGCATGGGAAATTTCTTGGGTGAACCAGGAGTATTCTGAATAGGTCATTTGGGGGCCTGTTTGAGGGGAAAAAATCTTTACCAAATACCCATTAGCCATTCACAGAATGAGGTGATAATATGTAGCACATTTTCCCAGTGTTATTTTAGAACATATTGGTAATAAAGTTGGTAAATCTATTGAATACATAATCTTTTTAAAACTCCCATTATATTTTAAATTTTATTTTTGAGAATAAATTGTATCAGGAATACTTAACTATTTTTGTAGTGTTAGATAATGGGAAATATAATAAGATATAATTCTATAAACACATTTCCCTTCACACCCTCCTTATGGCAATATTAGATAAATCAATCAAATAAATATTAATGGAATTGCTCTTGTGTGCAAAATGAACATTTAACTTTGGGCTTTTTTATTTTTTATTTTATTTATTTTTTATTAAATTATTATCTGTGTACATATTTTAACATTGCCCCTAACTTTGGGCTTTTTTGCATGACTCATGGATATTTGTTGCCAGTGGTTTTTGTTTGTTAATCCTCACCCCAGGAAGCAGTCCCTTTGTTATTTCAGACATTTCTCAAGGAAAACAGATTAGAATCTTCATATATTTTGTCTCACAACACCTTTAGGCTAGCCCTAAGGTGGACAGGGCAGAAATTGTCCTGTTTTTTTCACATGACACATATGAATTATTTCAGAGAGATGAAATAATTTGGCCAACACAAAACAGTTACTAGTGAGAATCAAATTTGAAACTGGTTCTGATTTCCATATTATCCTTGACAGTAGTTCATGCAGTAGACCCATTTTCTGATTTGTTGTACTTCATCCTTGGTCTCAGTTACAAAATAGAGCAGCAAATAAAATGAAATCAATGGAATTAGAATCTCTGTTAAGATGACTCATGTTGATTACATTTATAAACTGTCCAGATGCCCTCTTCCTACAACTTTTGGTTCAAAACTTAAAATTGTATATTTTCTTTCTAGGCCCTAATCTTAGAGGTGCAGTCGTTTGGTTTTTTTTTTTTTTTTCTGGCTCTTAAAACTTTATCAATATCCAGAAAAATTATCAAAGCTTTGCAAATTCTATGGATCTACTTTTAACCTCAGGTCACACTAGGAGCTGGCTGAGCCCTGGAGAGCGATGGAATCCCAGAGCTGAACAGCAGGCCAGACTTGCAAAAGTCCCTCTGTGTTTCATGGGGGCAGGGTGGGAAATCTAGCCACGTGAGATACAGAAGCTCTGGGGGAGCAGGACAGCTGTCTTTGTAGTAATCTCAGCCTGTCCAGAGCCTCCAAACCAGCTCGTGTCCCATATCTGAGCAGTATGGCTGGGCAGAGTCATGGAAAACTCCAGAGGGAGATAGAGAGGGGAAGCATTTGATACTGGGACACTGTGAGATATGGAAGGGAGAAGGCACTGCTTATTCCATGAATCATGGATTGCAAGAAATCGTGACCCCAGTTCTGTGCTGAGTGGGAAGATATTTTCTAGCCATTTAGGCATTGGATAAGACAGTGCTCTCTCCTTGACAATATCTACACATGGAAAGAAGAATCAATAATTTCCAGTCCCTTTGGGATACTTGCTAAATAATCCATAAAATAGCCAAAAGGGTAAGGCAATTTGGTGGGTGTGATGGCGAAGTACAGTTATCGGAGTCATTTGCATCATGTAATGAAGAGTTGATCAGGACCAAACGACCAAAATAATTGACTGAAGAAGCCTGATTTGTTGTGGTGTGGCTTTAGATTTTTCTGAATTGACTTTATTTTATTTTCCTTTTTTTTTAATGCAACAACTTTATTGAAAGAAAAGTGCAATTTAAATTGGTTGAAAGTTTAAAAAGGATAACTTAGACACCTCCTCTTAAGCGCAGAACCAGGTACAGAATGGACTCTTTCTGGATGTTGTAGTCGGACAGGGTGCACTCATCTTCCAGCTGCTTGCTGGCAAAGATCAGCTGCTGCTGGTCAGGGAGGATGCCCTCTTTGTCTTGGATCTTGGCCTTGACATTCTCGATGGTGTCACTGGACTTGACCTTGAGGGTGATGATCTTGCCAGTCAAGATTTTCAAGAAGATCTGCATTGTTAAGGGCGACGAAGGAAATTGCGGGTGAAGAGAAGAACAGCAACTGCGCTCCGAGCAACTGCAAACCTATTTTACATTGTTTATTAAGGTATTATATGTGTACATATCTTACCATTCCCCCCCCCCCCCGATCCCACTTCCATTGAGTGTCTGCCCCCTGGTGGTCAGTGCGCATCATAGGGACTGGTCATTCCACCATTTGGTCAATTTGCATAGTAGAGTTTTATTATATAGGATATGCATAGCCCACAGACACAGACAATAGTGTGGTGAAGCCCTGGGAGGGGGGTGGGAGGGGTCACTGGGGGCAGGGTGGAGGGGGTCAAAGGGGAATAAAGGGGGACATCTGTAATACTTTCAACAACAAAAATACTTTTTTAAAAACATGTATTTTTGCTCTTATACATTCTGAGTTTACAAATATGCATTTAAAAAAAATGCTCACAGCTTAATGAGGCAGACAATAAAAATTGGAGACTTTTTCCTAATTAAAAGTGTCAGAAAATATGTTATCCCCAATTTTCCAATTTACTAATAAATAGGCTATGCACCAAGAGCATATTTGTAAAGTCTGAGTTTGGAACTGTAAAGGGTTTTGTCCATGGAAGCACTGTATTCAATCACCACTGCATGAGTCCATCCAAAGCTATGTAAACCACAATGTAACAAATAAATGTCCAGGCCTAAGGGGAGTTCTAGAATAAAAACAGGAAATTCCTCTCATGGAGTGGAAGGAAAAGGAAATTTCTACCCAAATATGGTAATGGGACAAGACACTTCAATTCAATTACTATTTCCTGATGAGTCCACTGTGCCTGGCACTGGGTTGGCACTAGAGAGGGATTTCAGAGATGAACTTGTCTGGTATTGACTTTATGTTATAACTGACTAGGTCATCTCCCCCCTTTCCCTTGCCTAGTATTCAGTCTCAATAGCTATATTGTCTTTCACTTCTTTGGGCTTGCTCCCAACTTCTTATAGTTCAAAAATAGCAACAGGGGGATGTTAAAGTGCAAGTCAGTGTTAGGAGGAAAGTAATCAAATTGAACAAATTCATCTTGAAATCGGAACTAATAAGTAGACAGTTCAACTCAATCTTTCATCTGCTACCTAAGTGTTCCTCTTACTCTGTTATCCTGTCAAGCCTACATGCTTTGCAAGAACATCAAGTCATTTCCAGTAAAATTTTCATGATAGCTGAATGGGACTCCAAGTAGGGCACGGGGACAAAGCTGGGGTGAGAAGACATGATGATGGCCATTTGTAAGTCAGGGACTGGATTTATCCTGATTAATCATTGTATCCTCAACTTTTTTCTTGCAAATATATATAACTGAGAGAGGAAGATAGTCTTAAATTCACATACATAAAAAGTACCCATAGAGATATGTGTCTGGCATTAACCCAACATTGGCTGCTAGGCTTAGCAGTTGACCCAATATCGTTCGAGATCTGGAAAAGTGGAATTGGTGACAAGCTTATAACCCCAGGTCTGTGACATGTTGCTCTCCACTCCTCCTCTCATTGGTCTCAGAGGAAAAAAGTCTTCCCAGAGGTGATGAAAACTTTGACATGACCAAGAAAACTTCTGTTGAAATGAATTTATTATAGCGAAAGTGCTGAATTTAAAACTTAGTCTCCAGGGTATCTGATTTCAATATAAGCAAGTCTCTGGTTATTATCATATATCAACACCATGTAATAGTGAGAAGGAGAAAGATTGTTTTGCAAGAGATAATGCAAACAGGCAGCAAACTGCCTTTTAGCTAAATTTATTAAATACCTCTCAAGAGAACAAATCAGAATTGATCAATGATGACTAAGTGTGGCTCAACATTGATTTGTCTTGCATAGCAACAGACTAGTTGTTCCAAAGAATTGCAAATAACCTTCAAAGCCACCCCCTTCAGCAATATGAGTGCAACCCTAACCTCGATTTTTTTTTTTTTACTTGTTTAACTTTTACAATATATTCTTTTTTTTTTTTTTTTTTTCCTGGAGAGATCTTTGTCATTAGGGGAAGGTGCTACATAGTAAATGGTCAATGTGCTTCAAAATGTAACTGGTAACTTTTAAAAAGGAACTTTATATTGACTTTTTAAATGTAGAAAATTAGTGAAGCAAGGTAATCCTCAAATTCATTAGGTTAAATCATTTTTTTGTTTTTCAGTTTGCTAAGATAGAATTTAAGGCACAGAAATAAATGAGATAATATCAGTTCCTACTTTCTCTATTAAGTTAGTACCCATCTAAAACCCAGGTCAAGTATCACCTCCTCTGTAAAGCTTTTTTTCACCCATGGTGTCATAGTCTGGTCCTTCTCTCTCTTGAACTCCCATAGGCACTTTTGTTCATACATAGGTTTTACTGCTTACTTATTTGCACTCTAAGTATTTATTTGTGCCTCTGTCCCCTCCCTAGCACCTGGCACCACACCCTACACAGTGAGTATGCAGTAAGTGTTCGTTGAATGCTGAATGAGTGAGGCAGACTTTTGGAATGCTAGGTCTGCCCTCTAGATTTGAAGGTACAATATATCACAAGATAACTTCAGCTATGAGGAGGAAGGGATTCTCTTAGTACCCTCGTGTCACTTCAGTATTTTTATTTATGAAATCGAATTCTTTGCCAAATTTTATTTTTTTATTAATTCTGTCTTTTTCTCCCTCTCCTGTGAGAGAAGAGTTTCCAGTGATAACTCCACTTAAAATTCAGAGCTGTCAGTATTTGCCTACACCCCTCTGCTTTGCCAGAGACTGCATCTGGGGAAGGCAAGGCCAAAGCCATTTTTATCCCAGACTGTCTTCACTTCACTCTGTGATCATCATCTGTGTTGAAAGAAGAAAGCAAAGGCTTTCTTGTGATGGTTACCTTACCTATGTCCCTTGCCCTTTCTGGGCCTCAGTTTCCTCATCTGTTACATGAGGCCTCACTAGATGATTTCAAAGGTCCGTCTCAGAGTTCAATCAGTGCAGCTCAAATACACACACCCACACAAAATTCTGGGCAATATCAGTCTCTTGTTAAATGTGGACATTTTCTGGGAACTTGGGAATGATGGTTATGGCAAACTGTGGCCCTGAAGACTCACAGGCCAATCTAGGTAAACTTGATTAAGTAAATGGGTATAGGTAGAATAATATTTAACATTCTATCATTCTTCATGAAAATTGATTAAGTATAAAAATAAGCTCATTAGGAAAATTGTTCCATTGTTCTTATCTTTTCAAACACTGAAGTTCAGACATAGAGGAAGAGTTTGTTTGTTTCCTATATTTTGTGATTTTCATATATATATATATATATATATATATATATATATATATTATTATTATTGATTTTTTACAGAGAGGAAGGGAGAGAGATAGAGAGCTAGAAATGTTGATGAGAGAGAAACATCGACCAGCTGCCTCTTGCACACCCCCTACCAGGGATGTGCCCGCAACCAATGTACATGTCCCTGACGGGAATCGAACCTGGGACCTTTCAGTCCACAGACCGACGCTCTACCCCTGAGCAAACCAGTTTCGGCTGTTTCCTATATTTTGTGATTTTCACATACTTGTGAGCATAGTCTTTCTTGGAGTATAATTTTAAATACTCTAAAAGGACTATTTACAAATCTAGGTAGAAGTGATGATATGGGACCATTGTTGTGTATGATGATCATTTTTACTACCAAAGCAGGGCCTCAAATAGCAGTAGAATCACTGGAGTTCTTAACTCAGGCATATGGATGCCTGAAGAGCCCACTGAATCCTAATCCTTTCTATCTAAATGTTCTAGTTTTACCTCCCATCACTCTCCCCAACATCTCTGGTTATGCTGGCTTATCCCTTTTGCTTAATGGCACTGTCTTCAGGTACTTTCATGCCTCTGTATTTTTGCTTGTGTTGGTGCCTCTGATTACAGTACCCTCTACCCACTCCTACCTCTTATTCACCCTTCAAGGTCTTGATCAAATACCATCTTCTCTGTGTAACTAGTTGATCTCTCCATTTTAATAACTTTTCCTCCCAACTCTTTCCGAAAATCTCTATCACGTCATATTAATTTGTTTGTTTGCTTAGTCTTCCTCCCTCTATGGAGAGAGCTAATTAATGAATTTAATTTATCTCTGTATCTCCAGTACTCAGTATATACTTTAGAATTAATAAGTGCATACAAGATAAAGTTTCCCAATGAGTTTAACCACTGTAATATTAGATGGCTAACTGCTTACCTATCCTTTCTCACTTTGTGTGTGTTCCAGGAGAGTTTGGTGTGTGTGGTGTGTGTGTGTACTGTTATTCTACTGTTGTTTATTGGCTAAGTTTTGAAACTATCACCTTTGCTCTCCACCTTTCTCTGGCTCTCATGGAGGTGGCAGGGAAGGTGATCTGGTGAACTTGGTCTGAAGAAAGCAGATTATCTGCAGTGCCCCATCATCTAGGGTTAACATGACCTTCACATCTGTTATTCAGAGAATCAAGGCAGCAACTTGTGGGTCTCAACATCTGAAGTTTATATTTTATCCCCTTATCTCTGCATGTTGCCAGATATGTTTCTTTTTCCTCTCTTACAGACACTGCTGACAATTTCTTTTATATATTTTAGCACATCTCTGTGACTAGAGGAAGTGTGAAAGTTTATCACAATATTTTCTCCAGTCATTCTGCCTAACTTCTTGGACCTTCTATAGCATGGGTGCTGTTAACAGAAAGTGGAAGCTAAGTTTTATACAAAATTCATATGTAAAATATATTGTATTATCATTAGATTTTAGTTAAATCTCAGAGGGCCCTCTGTGATTTCTCATGGTTTATACTGGACACCAGCTATTCTTTACTTAAGTACAAAAAACATTTTTAAAAATGTAATTTCGATAGTCTTTTTTATTACTTTGTTACATCTTGTGCATTGTTCTATGTTCTTCTATGTTCTGTGGCTATAGTGGCAGACAAAAGAGATCATAGTACATGTTGTTATGAAGCCTACAGGCAGCTGTATATATAATGTGAGGCAGCTATAAAGGTGGAGTGAGGATGGCAATGAGAAGATACACAAATGCAACTACCCAGTA